TAATAATTGGAATGGGGTTAAATAGAACAAAAAAAAAAAATTAATTACGTATGAATAAGTATATTTAAAAAAAAATAAATTACATAAGTGCAATTCGACAAAACAAGAAAGAAACATTATTAAATCATAATATTTGCATAACATATTACAGTGTAGCCTCTGTAAATATGTAAGGGTTCCTAATACGCAGAACTAAATAATAAAATCAGTTTCAAAAATCAAATACATTAACACTGTCTTAATAAAATTAACTAAATTTAGTTATAAATCTTTGTATACTTATTATGAGTCAAATATTGAAAAAAAACTGTTTCGAGGCTATGATATATATGATAATTAAATAATAATATACACACTACACAGGTGCAATATTTGGGGAATTAGGTAGCACGACGAACACTCGCATACTCCTGGTTTTCAACATTAGTTCAGTGAAAACAACATTTTATTTTTTGTCTATAAAACATTTGATATATCGTATATGTATTTACAATGTCCACAAAAAACAGTAGAATGTCAGTCACTATATTTGTATGTGATATTTGAATATCATTCCTAAGTTATTAATTTGACCCAATTATTTTTTGGTAATAACACATTGAAATACAGTTCATTATACATATATATATATATAACTAAATATAAACTGTATTAGAGCTTATTAATATTTTTTTTTATGTATAAGGGGATTTTTCGAATACACACTCGAAGAAGAAAAATTTACCTGTCTTAAATTTGGCGTACTTTTAAAGTAAAATCTTTATCTTGCGTAGCTTTAGTATTAAAAATAAAGCACACCTCCTCCCTGATTATTTCATTGTTATGCAGGAACTCATTTTCATCTCATTGGCAGACAGGCGAGTTAACACCAATGTAATATTTTTGAAAAAACTAGTGGATATTGATGCACCCTCACTTATTTCGTTGGTTAATTTCGAAGTGACTTCTCGTACTATTAGATATCTAGTTCCATTCATAGTTCCTGCGTACACCACCAATTATGGCAGAAATAATTTTCTCTTGGTTTGGTTTTTGAAAACATGTCAATACATAATTGCTATAGAAAAAATGTAATTTTTATCATTGTTTTACATATAATATTATATTTTTTTCGTTTTGTTTAGTGACATTTGAGAGACATCGCTCCCATGTCCCCCCTTGTATCCACGTTTGCAATCATTATCTTATTTAAACTTATGTATGTTTTTGTATTAATTATTTAAATTATTTAATGTATTGTTTTTAAATTATTGTATAGGCCGTTAATAAAGACAAATAAATAAATAAAAATGCATCAGCCTCCATAGTACGATATTGAAACAGATAGAATAAAGAATATATTTCATCTATAGTGTAAACGTACTGTGCACCTAGGGTAATCTGAAAATATTGAAAATTAGAGATAAAGAAAGTTTACTGGCTATAATTATTGTCCATGGACTTTTGACAATATGTTGTACTCTTACATCATTATTATATCGTTTCAATTATTAATCAAAAGCAAAATTATAAACAAACGCATAGGAATATTATATAATCATAATGTATGTACGTTTATCAACATTCAACGGGTTTTTAAGGCATACCACATACTTGGAAGTATTATTTTACACAATATTCACTCATTAATAGAATATTATTTTGTCGACTCGGACACGTGTTCAAAAGCCCGAGTTTACCCGTGTAATGACTACATTAGTTATAAATTATAATACTATGTACCCGCAGCTATACGTTACGATCATGCGGCTGCTACGATTATGGGTAAAGTGTGTATTTATTTTAGTATTAATTAGGTACATATTGCATATTGTGGTTCACAACGAATTATGGTAGGCACATATTTTCGTGATCGACTATCGCTGATTACAGCGGTAAAAACATACCGATTAACATATTTGCTATAAATTATATAGCATAGATTGCAGTTATTATATTATATTAAGATAAGTTTACACGCAATGGACTTATTGTGTGTATTAACAGACCATTTAAACGGACAATAAAATGTACATTTTATAGAGTAGTCCGTACGTCCTGTTTATCACTCATTTCCCATCTCAATTTCCAGTATATTTTGCATTAGTTTGAATTCCATTCAGTTTTTTTTTTTTTTTATATTTATTATATATTTTTTCGATAATAACAAGCCTTTATTTTATAACAAGGGTTATAAAAGAAGCACTACTGGTCAAGCTGTTTTCAGGTTTGTGCGTGTCATATTTTACAGTTCAGGGACTAAAATTCTTTCTTTGTCAAGTTTCTTTTTTAGCTTATAGACCATTCTCAAGGAATTAATCTTCTTGATAACGATTTCTTTGTTTGCTAAAAAGTCACCTCCTTGAAATTGTATTTTTATCTTCATCGTAAATCAAGTTTTTCTTGCTGATCACAATAATCCTTTCATTATACTTATAACTAAAGGAACTTTTGTTCAATTATTTTCCTTGCGAAATTTATGGTACACCTCGTCACTATGGGCTATTTGTCAAATCGACCGCTACGAACCTTTCGTCGATATTATTGAGTTTGTGTGTATAAAAACTGTGCATGTGTGTTAATAACAGATAAATGTGAACCCGTATTGTCTTACAGAAATACCTTAGTTGATAATTGAACCATTACAATAGAAATAATAAGATGGTCATATAACATTATTATTATTTTCCGATGCACCGTTGTCCAACATGTGCTCTTATCGGTGATATTATTTGTATTTAGTATTACAAAAAAAAACTATAATTATTCAAATTCCATCTTTTTAAAATATTTTGTAATTTGATGAAAATACTGAGGTTTGAGGAGGTTGTTATTTTTTTATAAACCATAAAGTTCAAAGATATCCAAGGAGACTTTAGCGCTTGGTAAATTTTAAAATTGCTTGAATCCTGTTCATTTTACGGGACTAGTAAAATTGTCTCCGTGCTATGATACCATTGTCCTTTTGGCCCTTTATCAATGTTATCGATTTATTTATCATAAGTTATGATTCATAGCATATAATTATGATTAATTACAAAGTTATATTTCTGCCTTGCGGACTAATAAATTGTTGCAATAATATTATTTTTTCCATCGGTGTTAAAATTGTTGGATTTGATTTTACCGAATTTAATTTGTAGTTTACAACAGAGTGGGCAAGACAATACCTTTGTTCTCCCACATTCCTTGATGACGGCTATGGCCTATGGGTTCTGTGCCGTAGTCCAAATGCCATAACTATGTTACAAACACTATAACCCAAACGTACGTCACTATCCGCCTCTGTACGCCGCAAAACGCGTACACATTATACATTACAATCTATATATAGCGCGTATTACGGCTGTCCCGTTGCGGACGACGTCAATTGTCAGAACGCAGACGGATCCGTGTGTCGGCCGGATAAAAATAATATTCAAGTAGGTTAAATTGAACAAATACGGACAAATGTGCGCCACAGCGTGTACGCAGCGAAAACACGTTATATTCTTCGCCGAATCGTGTGTACCGTAAATAAGACCATAATGTATGTGCGATTTATAATGCCGTGTTTTATTTGACTATGTTCGAACACATACATACTTTGGTGTCCGACTTAGTGCATTTTCAAAAGGGTGGTGAGAGAGAGGGAAAGGGAAAGGGATTTGTATAAATTCCAGAAGGGACTAAAAGTCTTGAGATAACTCGTTACTATAGTATTTTTAGACGTTCTTATCGCACCGCAGAAAAGTACATGATGCTTCACTATCCTGGCGTATCACCGTCTACACTTTTAACACAGAGGTGACCACCGCCCATGTAGTCTTTGTACAGTACAATTAAATGATATACAAGCGCATCTAGGATCATACTAACCATTAGGCAGGATAAGCAAATCCCTCTTGTCTCCGTTTATAAGCACCTAGGATTTTTATGAAGATTTTTTTATTTAGAAAACAACTATCATCGTATAAGATAAATATAAATAATTACAAGCAAAATATAATATATAAAAAAAAAATAATCAGCGTAAAATGCCACATTTTTTATTTTGTTTAAGAGCCTTAAAATCCCCAAATTTGGACACGAGTGTACCTCTTATAAAAGGTAAAATGATGAAAGTTTGCTAACAAGAAATGTGTTTTTTTCGAGTAAACGATAATGCGGTCCATAAGCAATATTTACTTCGGTGACATATAAAGTGTCTAGGCTATAGTAATCGAAATAATATTGTGAATTTATTTTTTCCGTCTAAGGTCGCCTGTACTCCAAGCACTTATAAGTCTATGGTGTGCTCGTATATCATAACACAACTTTCCGGTGAAAACGTCTGAAACCGGTATAAAGACTGTGGCAACAACAGTACATGCAGTATAGCAGCTACGAGCATAGGAGGTACCTATAGTGCAACGGGGCAAATGTTTTCGTCGTATGCGCGCGCAACACTATCGTGAATGCACGTTCGTACGGATGGAATTCCTCGCGCGAGTAATAGCGCTCGATTATTGACACGCGCGCACCAACAACGAATTACGGAAGAATTTGCGACGACTTTCTAATAGAGTCGGCAAAACGGAAGTACGCAACGCTACCGCGCGCGCGCCATAGTACGTGGTGCCCAGAACGGGTTATTATTGTAACAGCGATGATCACGGCGGCGGCGAGCGTAGTAGGTACGCGTTTCGTAGTAGAACTAGCGGTACCGGAGGCCGCGTGCGATTTCATTGACGTCGTCGTTTCACCTCGCCAGCACCGGACAGTGACCGCCAGCTGGACGACATCTTCCCGGGCGGCGCGACAAAAACATTTACGCTTACATCATCGTACGTTTGTTCGTGTACGGCACGAAAACGTCGTAGGAGAGGAGGAAAAACAAACGTGGCCAAAGTCAAAGTGGAGCCCGCGCACGCGCCAACACCAGAGAGAAAGATCGCTCGACGCGTGCGTGCGCGTGAGCGTGTTGTCACGCGTACTGCGCAGTAGACGTTTTTCCGTAATGGCTTATTTGATTTTGTTCTTGGGTTTTTCGCGCGCGTGGACGAACGGCTGTCGTCTCGGATTTCCCTCCAATACGTCGTCGGCCATCGACAGTTGGTCGCACTGTCGCGTTAGCCGGCGGGGCGCCCAGAACCTGACCCTCCACCCGTCCTCGCATCTTTGTGGTCGTCGCGCGCATTCGCAGCGCCGCACCGACAACATCACTGCGGCCTCGTCCTTCACTGGGCCCGTCCGTAAAATTCTGGGTCGTCGTTCCGACTGGAAGTTTTTTTTTCAAACATTTTTTTTTTTTTTTTTAAAACTTTTTTTGTAATTATTTCGGTTTTCATTACACGTTTACCGTTTGTACACCGCGCTTCGCGTTCCCCGGACGCGCGCGAACATTTCGCCGCGGTCATAAATCGTCCCGGGGCCGAACACGGACAAGGCGCACGTCGTCACCGTCGCCATCGTACAACCATATCAGACCTACCTATAGGTGAGTTGTTTTTACTTGAACGGATATCATTAGTTTAAGCCAGGATTGGTAGTGTCATCACGTCTTCCCGACCCACAATCGTGTTTAATTTCGTTGAAGCGTTGCGCCCTTTCTGCTACGTGATAGCGTTGTGAAGCCCGCGCTTCTCTAGAGATTGCCGCGGGCTTAATATGGCCACCACCTGCGCGGATCATGGAATTCGCGCCATTTTAGTATTTCGTAGTTTTTTTTTTTTTTTTTTTTTTATGGTTAACCGTACAAGGCTGTCTTGACTACTACCATGCCCAAAATGCTCATGGCTATAAGTCGACTGATTCCAATAAGAAAACAACACCCTTGATCAATGCTCATGATTGTCGATTGATGGCATTAAGAACATAACATCTTATAAATAATATCATTACTTTTTATTCCATTTGGCCATCTGTTTGAACCAACATAGACGTTTTGACCATTACTAACCTGTAATGTATATCCATCTGCAGATCGTCTCTTATGGCTGTGGTGGGTACTTGGTGTCAATTTTAGTTTTAGCATTCTGTGTTTCTACTTATGGTTATTTCAACACAAATGGTTTTAAGTACCTTGATTCAATTGTCAAGACAAATTACATTTATATTACCTATAGTTCAATGGAATTTTTCCTCTTTAGAAAATTTAGTCAATGCTTGAGATAATGCAATTACAATTTTTTAGTATGTTTATTACATTGCACATATATTTATTACCTATAATTTTATTTGTATATGTATGGTATATTTTTAATTTGATTTGAACATACCTATCTATTATGTTATTTTACCCTAACAAAAAAACACAACCATTACTAATAATTTATTTTTATTGCAATAAATACTAACATTGTCATGAAATTAGAATACCTATTTATTTACAATTTAAAAGTGTTTGTATTGTTTAGTACTTTTAATTTTCTATGACTGATTAATGTCATTCAAATTGTGTTGATTTTGAGTTCAAAGATTTATTATGAGTATATGACTATAGTCATAATATAGTTAAGTATCATTACTCCATATTTAAGACTTAAAAAGTAAAAATAATTTGTTCTCTTTGTTTTATTCAAATTTTAGGATACTTTGTATTAGTGTTTATTTCTATAAATTATCAGTAAATCAAAAGTAATGGATAATATAAAAATGTGTTTTTACTAATCTATTAATTTAATATATCCATTTACTTAATTGAATAAAAACATTTATTCAATTAAGTAAATTTCAATTAAGTAATTTTTTTTTATATTACTGATTAATATTTTATTAAATAAAATAAATAAATTGTAGTAGTTAATTTATTCTAGATGAGCTTTGTCATTGTTATTTTTTTATTTCTAATGTTTTAAATAGTTATATTATCTATATATTTTTGTCATTGTAGTGTACCTAAATGATCTGTTTTTAACTATTACATTATTTTTTCAAATCGGTTTTCCATAACATTTATAATTGTCTAAAAACTATTACTTATAAAGTTATATTGTAAATTGATCTAGGTAATCTATAAATTTTATGTATTTAAATACTTAAAATTGAATACATAACTTATTACATTTATTATATTAACTGGTGATGCTGGTACTGGATGCCTATTTCCTGTTCTCTTACACTTATTGACACCAGTATCAAAAAGATCTCAAGTTCTATCATTAATACAAGCTATTTCATAAAACTATTTCATAACTGTATATTTATATTTAAATACTCATGTTCAAATTGGTAGAATTGTTTTTCTTTCATACTTCTCAATATTTATCAACATTTATGCAACACATTTATGCTTTGTGAGTAGGTAATTTGAATAATTTATATTTATTCATTACTGATGTACTACCTATTTAGCTTCTATTGAATAGTTATTCATTTAAATATTTTTTTAAGAAGATCAACTAATTTAAATTTGTTAAAGTTTTTTGTGTGCATATCAACATATATCTATTAAGTCTATATAGGTCATGAGAAAAGATTTGATCCCACCCCATCTTTTCCTAATTCGATACTGCTAACTGCATCTATTAAATTATCATTATGTCAATAAGATATTACTATTTGCTATTACTCATTTATTTTATGTATAATAATACATAATTAAATTAATTTAATGTATAAATGTTAATTGATAATTGTTGTTTTAATTAAAAAATTTGTTTATAATATATTTAAATCATATGGTCTGTACTTGTTTAATAGGTATACTAATATAAAACAAATTTACAACTTTTTATATTCCATAAATAATATATTTAATTTCTTCTGAATATTATATAAAAGTAAAATTAAAATATTTTTATCTTTTAATAAAATCTGGATATTTTATTTATGTATATTTTACATTTTCATTTTCATTTTCCTATTTTTTTTTTAAATTTGTATAAAATTGTAGCATTACGTTCATTCTATGATTAAGTTATAGTTATAATAATTATGTTTATAATCAAGTAAATATCATTCTTATAATCCTAAAATATATCAAAATTATAATATTTAAGTTATTGGTTAATATATTTTTAGGCTTCCAATAATACTATAGGTTCTTGATTACAAGAAAAACCAAATATCCTTAGACTTTATATTATATTTCTATGATTACATCATAATTTTATCATGGTTTAATTTTCATTATTTGAAATATCTTAATTATCTTCATCTGGTTGTAGGCCGTAATTACTATTTGTATGCTATCATGATTATAATTTTGTTTCCTTTTAAAAGGAGTGATTAGTCTATAATTTTACAATATATACAAGACCTACCAAATTTTGATCGTACATTTGGTCCATCACATTATCGTAGATGGTCGTTTATTGAAAAATTTAATGTTAAATAGTTCCCATTTATTTTAGTATATATTAATACTATAATATTTCTAATAAAAAAGTTAATGTTATTTTGTAGATAGTTATTACCCCCATATCCTAATAGTCCTGTATAATCAATAGTTCCTTGTAATGGTTCATATATTTCAGTTTTTGTTATAACACATCTTATCTATGTTAATTTGTACACAAATTAATTGTTTTAATTTTATATTTTTTCAGTAATATAACTTGAACCTTCTCAGTATTCATTACTAGAACAACGAAAAAAAATAATTAAGAAAAATGAATTTTGATATAGCTTACTTATAAACGCTGTTTGCCGCGTGAAGCGACAACAACATAATTGTAAAACGTGAGTACCTCTACATTTTTTTAATTGACTAGTCTATTATCTTATTATGAAATAAGGAATTTAAGTATTTTAATGTAGTTGAATGTCAATAATAACAACAACTTTAACTATTGTTAAATAAACTTAAATTTTAATATTTAAGTTTATGCTGATTTTACGGTAGATTTTTTCATAATAATTTGAAACATATGAGATTAAATTAAATAATATAATTTTCTATTTATACTTCAATAATATTTCGTTGTTTTATTCAGTTAAACATTTTTAGATTTATATATGTACCTATTTATAATGGTTACTGTTAAATTAGAGTTAGAGATAATAACGAAGATTGTCATTTTAATTTAGAAATTTGATTAATCTGGTTTATTTTTTCAAAAATAATTCTGTTGTATTTATTGCTCAACAATTATAATTTGCTGCCAGCTTCATTCATTTCTAAAAAAAAAAAAAAAACACATGTGTAAATATATTTTTGGGTTCTGGCATAACTCAAGTGTTGTGCATTAACTGGCATTAAATTTGATAATAATTTCTTTACTAAACTGCTATATTTGTGTAATCTACTTCAACATTATTTTTACTAAGACTATGTTTTTAAACAAAAGTTATATAGTTCAATGTACCCAACTTTATTGTTTCATTATTACATTAAATGTAATAACAATAAATTTTGTTTTAAGCTTTTTTCTTTTATTAAAATCCACCAACATAATAATATATAATTCACACTACATTGGGGGGGGGGGGGGTTTTTTTTTTTTTTTTTTTTTTTTTTTTGACGCCATTTGAATAAATTGTAAACTGCCTTTTTTTATTATTACAATTTCATATAATTGTTAAATAATTAAAACATGTTACATTTTTAAAATAATTATGGTTTAGTAATTATTAGTAAGTATTATAAATATTGGTGTAAATTATTTCAGAATAAATGCAGGTACCTAATAATTTGATGCATTTTTTATAAAATATAGAATAATTGTTAAAATTGTGACTTTATATTTTTATTTGACATAAATAATTTTGTCATATTATTTTTACTTTCAATATTTTCCGTAGTTATGTTTGTTATTGTTAAAATAGTATTTAAGGCACAATAGTACTACAGTAATAAGATTAAGTTTTCAAATAATTTATTAGACTCCCAATAGTATATAAACTAAATTATTACATATTTATATTTTATTTTATAATTTAAAGATATCAATATTATAATAATGAATATTAAAATAAGGGAATTCCAATGAAGTTGAAAAGTGAAAGGTACATTTACAGGAGTGAGACCAAGTATGCTCTAGGTTCAGAGGGGTTCAGCGGCTGACAGGAGAATAGAACAGAGTACGATTGTTACGGAAATGAGAATGCTTAGATGGATAAGTGGAAAGAGAAGATAGAATAAGGAATGAATATATGAGGTAGTATTGGTGTAGTTTCTATAGTGAAAAAGATGAGAGAAAATAGACTGAGATGGTTTGGGCATGTGATGATGAGACATGAAAATTCAAACAAGAGTTATGAAAATGAATATTGAATAGAATAGAAGAAGAGAAAGACAAAAAAAAAGATAGTTAGGTACGATTGAGAATGATATGAGGGCCATTGTTGTGTGGGTAGGGTATGTTAAAATTGAGTGGAGGTTAAGGACAAGGGTGACCCATAATAGCGGGGAGAAAGGTGAAGGAGAAGAAATAAAAAAGATATCAATGTTAGGTATCATTTTTGATTTGATGAAACAATGGTTTTCTCTCATGTTTCTATAATATGTAATTATGATTTTTAGTTAATCTAACCATTTGAAATCAAAAATTCAATCTCAATGACTTGTATTTTGTTAATTTTTTTCAGCCAAAGAAAACCAAAAAATGCTGTACTAAGCAATCATCCCTTCTTCATGAAGATGGGATATTTATTTACAAACTCATCAGCTCAATAAATCACCATTTTGGCTGTTTTGTACTTTTTTTTTATTCATTTAAATTTAATATTTCATTTTTTTATGCGTATTTTACATTTTATGCATACTGTCAAAATATTTTAAATTCCAATCAACTTAATTTGGATATAATAAGGTATATTAGTTGAAATTAATTTATTAATTTATATTAAACATTCATTTGATAATTTTGTATTTTTATATTTTTCATAGTCACCAATCAAAAGTATGTCACACAGCCATTACTTAACCAAAGAAAACTTTCCGAGTATTTGTAAAAAGTTGTCAGAACTTCAGTGGACAATGGATTCATCATATACAGAAAAACCTGAAACTTCATCCCCGGCTTATTCTTTTTTGCCAACTGCTCGAAATGTTCCCAAAAGTGATTATCATCCCAAAGAGTCTTACCAGCATTTATTAATTGATACAAATGAGGAAAATTTATTTGAGAAATATCTTAAACAAGAATGTGAAACCTATAAATTGTTTGGTGGACCACCAATTAATCCGTTATTTACTGATGAAGGACGTGGTTCCAGTATAGAAGATTCTCCAAAATCTTTTTCATATTTTTCAAAAAATAATTGTTCATATTTGGATAATAGTATTTGGGCTCAAGATTCTGGTAATGATAGTTGGCCTGATGCATTCTTGCCATTGGATATTAAGGATGAAAATTCTTGGAATATATTAAACACTGAAATAAGAAAAGAACCAATGTCATGGGCAGTAATTCAGCGTCCAGCCAAAGAAGATAAATTTAAGCCTATTAACCAATTGGTTGATGCTGGCGCAGCAATTTTTCCTGATGGTTCACAATTTGAAATAGATTTATCATATGAAGCATTTAATGCTATTGAAATAGAAGGAAAATTGTATATCGGCAAAGATGAGTTTCGACGTACGGATGATGGATTGTTGTATAAAGTCTGTAATCAAGATAAAGGTAAACACTTGTTTTATATTTAATAATTATGTATTTAATAAAAAAAAAAAAAATATAATTTAGGCACTCAAACAGATGATTGGGATGATGATGATGACAGTGTTTTAGTAACACGTACAGCTAGACGACACTATCATTTTCCAATATTCCAGAATTGGCACACTTCTCAGACTGGCGATAACCAAGATTTATTAAGTGACTTTTTTAATCCACAACGTTCACGTGAGGTCAGAGATAGTTTAGATGAAAGAAATCAGATGGTAGACATGCTTTGTTCGTTTGTGGGTATGCAACATTTATGGGATAAGCCAACTATGTGTAATGATATTAATGCTTTTCAAGAACAAAACACATACATACCAACATCATGCAATGGATTGACTGCTACCTACTCAATGTAAGTTTAAAATATTCTTTTATGAATTGGTTAATACTTTGTAAATTGATGATATTTAATTCCTATTTTAGGGTACATTCTTAAATATAAATATTAATATAATATGTGATACACATAGATATATTGTATATTATATTGAATATATTAAAATTATTTTTCTTGATTAAATATTTTGGATGTTAAATAGATTCAATTAGAATAATTTCTCTTACAATTTTAGTATTTATTTAATAAAACTGCGTGGTATTTAAAGGCGAATAATCACTTGATACCATTTTTCTATACTTTTTAAAGTTAAAGTCTTTTTCTCTTTTAAAACTGTCTTAAATTGGATTGATATTATTTTAAACTTTCAGATTGCAGTCAGATAGTGGCTCGGAAAGTTCAGACGATATAGATCGTAGTAAACTGTTCCGAAATTCACGTACATAAAAGAAGCATCGTTGATTGAAAATTTGCAGTATAAAAAACAACACTATAATATAATGTTCTGCTCGTGCACCGTTTTGTTTGTTGTCAAGACATATTAGACTCGTAGGTTAAGTTAAACATACTTTTTCTTTGGGACAAAAAATATAATAATTTACATTTAATGACCTTTAACATATAGTTACGGTCGATAAGTTATTGGTTTAAAACTGTATTTAAAAGTAAAATAAAAAAAAAGAACAAAAAGGTCAAAAACCCCTCAAAAAAAAAAAAAAAAAAAAATTAAAAAAAATTAAAAATATATATATTTAAAAAAAACATAATATATGTTAATAAATATTTATATCTTATGGATAGACCTAAGGCTATAAAAAATACCGTATGGGTTTTTTTTAGGTTGTATAAAAAAATAATCCCACTCTTATTATATGCTTTGGTTAATAATGAATTTTTTTGTGTTAAAAACTGTCAAGACATATTAAGAATTTATCAGATTAATAGCTTATGATAGCTCATGGGAATTTAATATTTTATAACTCAATTTTAATTTTAATTTTTTTTTTTTTTTAAGAAAAATAAAATATTAAAACTGTCGACTACCCGAATGTTGATTCTTTCGAGATTAGAATCATGATGTAATAGTACGGTGTCTAAGAGTTTAGTACTCTATCATAAAGTGTGGAATGAGACAAATTTTTCGGGATTTCTGTTTTATGTTAATAAGTATTCGGTGAAATAAATTTAAAAAGTTTTATTTGACCTACAAGTTTTAGGTCTAATTTAATCTAAAACATAAAATGTGTTATGATGTTTATAATAATTATGGATCTTAATGTTTATAGAAAAATTTAGTTTATTATTGGAATCCGTAACTAATCACCGATAATTAAAAATAAATTGTCCAATTACATCATTCTGTAAATCCTAGTCATAAGTTTGTCTGGTTCAGTTAAAAGATATCAAAATATGGGTCCCGATTTTTTTTAAATATGGCGCCCGAAATTTATTTGACAATAATATATATTAATATATAATATATAACATTTTTTTTAGTTAAAATGAAATTTATTTTTTCTAATAAAACAGTCCGAAAACCGTTTTCGGCCCTGATTTTTAATAAAAAAGCGCCTAGAGTTTTATGTTATAATTAACCATATTTTTTTTTTATTATTATTATTTTTATTTATTGCACACCGTTAATTTATTTAAAGTGCCTTTTAGAAACATGTTTGAAATCTTGAATTTTTTCCATGTGTAGTAGGGGTTGAATGACTGAATGTATCGCTCTTTTGTTTATCGGTTATTAGAACAGTTCCTGGTAAAAACCGATAAATACACTATAAAATTTTTTATCAAAAGATGCGCACCCCTATTTAATTACATAATTGTTATATTTTAACACACATTGCATAAAATGAGGTATCTATACAAATTGTATTTGTATATTTTTAATGATTTATATATTTTGGAACAATATATGAATTTTTTCTTCTTCACAAGGCCTAGGTTATAATGTTTTTATGCGTTTTGTTGAAGTTGTTGTTTATTTTAAACTATTTTGCAAAGAATAATAGAAGCACAAGATTTTGAGAAAAATATTTGCTTTGTGTTGTTTTGTATTCTATCTTGATTTGTCTTGACAGTTTATAACAAATATTATGTTAATCATGTTTGAAGGAATCTTTATAGTTTAAAAAGTATATGGCAGATCATCAGATCTTTTTAGGTAATTACATATATATTTCCATATATATCTATCCAAATATAGGTTCGTAATTTAGTATATGAATTTTTTAAGAGTTTTATACTCTTAAAGAATTAAGTAACATTGTATTAGACCAACATAAAAATTAAGAATAAAATATAATCACATTATAAAGGGAATAAAATAATGTAATTGTTTTTTCATATTATTTTGTATGCATGTTTTGATTTAAACTTGTAAATTGCAAGTAAATAAATATGGTACTCAATTATGTTATAAGTTTGGGAGTTTCATGATTGTATATTATTTTGTTATTAAACTGTATCATTGACACATTTTTTTATCATTATTATTAAGCAAATAATGAAAATGTCTTAACACTCACCATAGTTGATTATATATTCTTTAGGTAGTTAAAAGATTGCACTAAGTACTGTGAAAATACCCAATTAAATATGGTACGTTTTATTTTAATCACCTCAATAAACAACAATTATCAACTTTTTCTATGAACTTCTATACCATTTTTATAATGTTAAACATTTTTCATACATGACTGATCTTTTTCTCATATTTCATAAGGAACATAATTCTTATGGAATTTACAAATAATTTGTTTTGACTCCATTCCGTACATATTTTTCATTAAATTAAGATTTCTGAAAAATACTTCTATTTTAAAAAATTTATAGTTATGATAGAATTATGTAATTCAATTTTTTTTAAATCCATTGTTATACAAATTCTTATAAAAATTTATTAAAATATGATAAATTTGTTTTAATTAAAATAATTATTGAGTTTAAACCGTTCACCAAAATTACATTTTTAAGTTTGAATTTTTTTTTTTTTTTTAAATAACTTAAAATATTTAAAAATAATTTTCTTTCTATTTTCATTAGTTTTCACAGTTCATTAAAATTTTTTAGATCATTTTACTCAGTAAAATTAAAGGTATACTTATATTATTAAAATATCTAGGATAAAGTTATTAATTTATTTTGTTAAGCAATTTGTTTTTATTATTAGATGTTATTGGGTAATACAAGTTATTGTATTTTAGAATAATTATCTATTTAAAAATACTGTGAAATAAAGAATATCACATAAGTTTTACTATTATCAAACAAAAATTATGATTTTTATAGAAAATGTTTAATACATGTTAACAATACAATTAACCTTCAAATACTTTATTATTTTTGTTTCTTCTTTCAGTTAAAATAATTTATATACATTTTTATAGTAATTATTTACTAGAACAAACATTTGATTTTTTTATTAATGAAAAAAATTCTACAGGGAGGAGAAAATTATATTTATTATATCATAATAAAAGTAAAATATAATATAAATAATCTTTTTGACATAAATATAAAGTATCTAGTCTAATATACATTTAAATTATTTGGTTTAAAGAAATGTTATTATATTTTAAGAAAAGTAGACATTAATATTAACTCCATAACTTTATTTATTATTCTGAAATGTAAACATATTTCAAACAGATTTAAATTTAAAATTCATTAATTTAGTTTTAATTTTAGTCAATTGAATTTTCTTTATTTAATGACATACATTTTGGAAAGTAAATATTTATGTTGTTTACTAAGTATTCATCATATGCACTTGGTTTTATATAAATTATCCATACGAGTTATTTTTTATGTGACTTATTCCCATTTGTTATTTAGGGTTTTTTTTTTTAATGTATTCTTTTTATTGTGAAACTTAAAGTAAAAAATCAATATTATTCTATAGAACTTGTTTACAGTGACTTAAGTTAGTTTATTTTATTAAATTAATTAAGTCATTAGTATCCAAAGCAGTTTTTGTTGTTTCTTAAATTAATGATAGAACAAAAATTACCAATTTTTTTAATTATCATTTTATACAATTTAGTTTTGATCACATTAATTTATATTCTGTTTTTGATAATATAATCAAGAAATTTTAACTTTACCCTCAAATTCAAATATTAATTTTTAAATTGTCAAAGTAAATGTTACTAATATTATTATATTATATAAAACTTAGTATACTTTTTATAATATTTTTTTGTCGACAATGAATATAGACTAAAGTGTTAATATCTGATGTGGTAAAAGTATAGTCTGTGTTGAATAAAAAAAAAAATAATAATAAACAGAACATAATTGTGTATGTTAATATTTTATTTGTAGACTCTTAGTACTTAGATTCAATTAATTACTGATATTTCTACAATTTAAAGAAATAGTCAAACTGACTAAGGAAATTTCAGTTGTGGATGAACGTACCTGGAACATAATGGTTATAATCGAAAAGAGTTTGATGGTATTCAAATATAAACAAACATATTCTATTAAATATTTGTAAAGCAGTCATTCTCAATGAGAGGCCATTATAAAATATTTTATACTGATTAAAATAATATTCTTATTGTGACTATCAATGGGTATCATAAATTAAAAATAATGATCTTTCCATTCTTGTTTATTTTATCTCTTTAGTAACTTTTTCGTGTAAATTAAATATTAAAATGTTGTAACTTGCAAATCCAAAAAAAAAAAAAAAAATTATATTTATAAATATATATTATGAAAAAAAAGTCTAACTTTGACTTTGACATTTTGCCTTTTTTTATGGATTTTCTAATAAATACAATGTAAACGATATTTGTACTTAGTTGAAAAAAATCTGGGTTAAGTCAGTGGCGTACGTTATTGTTTATTATTAAATAAATATATGCAAAAAAGTAAAAATAATCAAAAAAACATAAAATAAGTTTTTTTTTTATTGTTAAAAAAAGCACGTAAATTTCAAAATTGAACGTGTTATAACATTGCAAACTTCCTTAACACTGCTATATTTTATGTCAAACCATATAAGCAAATGCTAAAAGTCACGAGCTCTGCTCACAAACAATAATTATTATAACAACCAATTTATACTATTTCATTACTATTCAGGGGAAAAAAATTAAAGATAGTAAAAGAGTACACTCGGTGGCGTAGCAAAGGGGGGGGCTAAGTGGGCTATAGCCCCCCCCATGGGCCGTGTTTATATGTATAGTGTATATATGTATTAAACTAGTATACTACTATTTTTATTTAAGTATTTTAAACCTTTAGTATTAACTAAATTTTGATGATTAACGAATAACAGGTGTTTGTCTGCCGTAAATATTACAGCTTACTAATATTTCTAGTTTCTACCATGATTATCACTATCTTTTTGATGGTTATCATGCAAGATTGTGGCGAATCACTATCAAATATTTAATGACTTTGTCAACATGGGAAAAAGTGTTCATATTGAAATAAAAATGCCACGAGTGATGTAAAAGGCAATGAAAATCCAGAAATATATTTTAAATGTTCTACTTTTATTTCTTTTCTTGACTTTAATAGAATCAATGGATGCTCGTTTTAAT